AGAGGGGACACCTACCTCTCTTTGTTCTAGATCATGTTCCATTCCTTTGGGGAAAAGCAGGGACCCCTGCACGGGATGCTCATCAACACGCCATACGTCACCAAGGATCTGCTGCAGTCCAAGCGCTTCCAGGCCCAGTCCCTGGGCACCACCTACGTCTACGACTTCCTGGAAATGATCCGGCAGGTGAGCCCTCCCTACTCTTTGACCGAGATGACACCTCCATCCTTTGGAGACTTGATCTCCCAATGTTTCCTTCTCAGGCTCTGTTCAAATTATGGTGTTCCTCGGAGTCATGCCCTGCGGAGGTCTTGACCTTTACGGAGCTAGTGCTGGACTCCCAGGGCAAGCTGATGCAGATGAATCGCCTTCCCGGTGGGAACGGGATCGGGATGGTGGCCTTCAAGATGGAGCTGAGGACTCCTGAATACCCCACGGGCCGCGAGGTGGTGTTCATTGTCAACGACATCACCTACAAGATGGGGTCATTTGGCCCCGAGGAGGATCTCCTCTTCCTGCGCACCTCAGAGCTGGCCAGGGCCGAGGGCATCCCCAGGATCTACGTGGCTGCCAACAGTGGGGCCCGCATCGGATTTGCTGAGGAGGTCAAGCACAAGTTCCAAGTGGCCTGGGTTGACCCCGCTGACCCCTACAAGGTGGGCAAATTGGAGGGAGAAGTGGGTTTACCTTCACTGTGATTTGGCTTCTTATTCTTGCCCCGAATTGGTTTCCTACCCTTGCACTGAATAAACTTCTTGCTCTCACTCCAAATTGTTTTCTTACTCTCGCATTAAATTGGCTTCCTGTTCTCTCTCTCAATTAGCTTCTTATTCTCGCATTGAATTGGCTTCTTACTCTCACATTTAATTATTTTCTTAGTCTTGCTCTGAATTGGCTTCCTTCCTTGCTCCAAACTGACTTCTTATCTCCTCTCCAAATTGTCTTCTTAACCTCCCTTTGAATTGTCTTCTTATCTTTCCTCTGAATCACCTTACTCTCGCATTAAATTGTCTTACTTTCACTCCGAATTGGCTTTTTACTCTCAATCTGAATAATCTTCTTGCTCTTAACTCTGAATTGGCTTCTCACATTAAGTTGTTTTCTTACTCACACATGTAATTTTCTTCTTATTCTTATATTGTATTGGCTTCTTACATTCACTCCAAATTAGTTTCTTGCTCTCACATTTAATTGGCTTCTTGATCTCACTCTCGATTGACTTCTTACTGTCACTCCAAATTGTCTTCTTACTTTCACATTGAATTGGCTTCATATTCTCATTTTGTATTGGTGTCTTACTCTCACACTGAATTGTCTTCTTTCTCTCACATTGAATTGTCTTTATTACTCTAGCATTGAATTTTCTTATTACTCTCCCATTGAATTGTCTTAATTGTCTAACATTTAATTGCTTTCTTACTCTCGCTCTGAATAAGCTTTTTATTCTCGCTTTAAATTGGCTTCTTGCTCTCGCTCTGAATAAGCTTTTTATTCTCGCTTTAAATTGGCTTCTTGCTCTCGCTCTGAATTGGCTTCTTACTCTTGCACTGAATTATCTTTTTACTCAAACATTGAATTGCCTTATTACTCTCATCTTACTCTTGCATTGAACTGGCTTCTTGCTCTCCATTGAGTTGTATTATTTCTATCGCATTGAATTGCCTTCTTTCTCTTGCTCTGACTTGCCTTTTTACTTTTGCCCTGAATTGCCTTCTTATTCTCACATTGAATTGCCTTCATTCTCTCACTCTGAATTGTCATCTTGCTCTCGCATTGAATTATCTTCTTACTTTCCCTCCAGTTTGGTTTCTTAATCTCACATTGAATTGCGTTCTTACTTTCGCTCCAAATTGGCATCTTGCTCTCACATTGAATTGGTTTCGTATCCTCCCTCTGAATTGGTATCTTGCTCTTGCTCTGAATTGACTTCTTACTCTCCCTCCAAATCAGGTTGCCACCTTACTCTTGCATTGAATTGCTTTCTTTCTTTCACTCTGAATTGCCTTCCTACTCTCACATTGAGTTGCATTCTTACTTTCACTCCTAATTGTATTCTTACTCTCACATTGAATTGTCTTCTTACCCTCACTCCTAGTTGTATTTTTATTCTTACATTGTATTGCCTTCTTACTCTTGCCCTGAATTGGCATCTTAATTGTCTTTTTATCCTCACTCCTAAGCATCTTCTTATTTTCTCATTGAATAGTCTTG